CTCTCTCTCTCTCTCTCTCTCTCTCTCTCTCTCTCTCTCTCTCTCTCTCTCTCTCTCACACACACACACACACACACACACTGAAAAATAAATAAAAAAGTCAAAAGGGTAAAAGAAGCTGATACGGGATGCTTGTCATCAATGTAACATATATAGTGAATAGTGATAGTATATAATTAATTGTCTCTAGGTTGAATGGATTCTTTTTTTGAGAATGATAACATTTTATAAAATATAAAACAGCACAAAGTTTGTGCTGCTAAAAGTGACAGAATACATCCCCAAAAAGGTAAAATAATCCCCCCACTACAAAAAGCTTACAAGGATTCTATGATATCAAGTATGGAGTCACAATCATTTACAGGGCATTCTTTACACCAAAAAAGAAAGAGTACTAAACAGTTCATTTTGATTTTCTGAATGGAGTTGCTAACATTCTCAAAACATCCGGAGTTACTCTCGTTCCAGACTGACCACCAAATGCAGGCTGGGATCTTCTGTCACCATTTCTTCTGTCTGACTCCACCTGTCACACCAGCCCAGCATCTACATGATGGATTCTACATAATGCTATTTCCTGACCTTGAGAAATTTAATGGCAGGTATTAGTTGTCAGACAAGACCTGAAAATGGCACAAGGAAAAATTGCATCTCAGTGTGCTCGTAAGAAACCTCTAGCATTTTGATGTTTCAATCCTTCCATATTTTGCAAGCTTCTCATAATATTTTCATGGTCTTTGTCACATTTTGATGTTTTAATTGAACAATGCAGATGCTGCTACTGGCATGTATGCAGAACTTATGCAAAGGTATCTCTACATGGATTATGCTCTATTATTGAGAACAATCAAATGCTTTAAAACTGAGCGGTCATTTTCCTTAGAAGGGACGAGCAGAACTTTATAAAATAGTTTTAGAATACACCAACTGCGTTGCCTCTTAAGCTCCTTGCTGGTGATGTGCAGCTACAAACTTCATTTCAGTGTTGTTATTAATCTTGGAAATTTAATGTCTTGAGATCCTACTTACCTGAGGAACTTTGTTTCATTAGATGGAAAAACTACAATATGTGCTGGCCCTCTGCAAGCCCCATAGAATATCTGATCCAAATTACACATTTCTACTCCGGAAGTGCTTACCTTGCAGCTCTGCTTTCTGTCTACTGTAGATGCACACGCCTTCTCAATTTCATCCCTCATCATGTTTTCTGGTTATGCATGTCAATAAACGAAAATACGACAATCTTTTGATGGTTTAAATATTCTTCACCTTTAGAGCTGTGTAGTTCTGAACAAGTATCTAAGAAAGCATTTGGCCTTTAACAACCTGAAGGCCCCATTTCTTTTGCATATTACCAGTTTTTTTTTTCCCTTCCTTTTTTCACTATAAAGATATGAAGTGGCATTATTTGATAATTTATTGGAAGAATCACCTGATGCAGTGATCGATATCTTTTGAGGCAATAGGAACAGTGTGGACAGCCCAAAATAGTCGTTACATGCAAGAATCAGCAAGAAATGTAAGCAGGTGATCCTAATCTATGTTTCTCTGCCCTTGGACATCACCAACGTCCATACCTACTTGTGAAGAATGTGTCATGTGCGTTGAAGAATGATTGACACTGTTTTATATGCTCGGAAAATGTCCTATTAGGAACAAGTTGAAGGAAGCAGCTGAGAACATTGGTCTTCCAACTTTTGTAGTTGCTGATGCGGGACGTACACAGGTATCCTTCCCAAGGAATAATGTAAAATTGATGATACTTATGTGAAATATACAAAAAGTATATTGAGAACATGTCGAAGAGGCTAGCCTTAGCACATTAGTAGAGTTTCTCTTGGTAACACTTTCTTCACAATTTTAAAGCAGGGAAATAATCTCTTCATAAATGGGGAAGGCTGCATACAGTATGCATCCCACTTTCCACCTACCTCCGCGATAGTCGGGGAGCACTTCATGCACGATAGCTCTTTTATTCAACATGTAGAGATAACTGTGAGATATAGAGAAGAGAAGTTGTTTCAAACTACCTACAATCTCTTGGAGTTTAATGTGGAAATAACTAAGAACCAAACATAAATAGAATGAAATGATCCGTATGGGCGGTATCAACTACGTTAGGAGTTAGAATTAAAATTTAGTTGTTGGTATTACATTTACGTCAGGTCCTGTGTTTGTTAGGAGACTTTTTGTCTGGTTGATACTTGTATATTCTTGTAGGGAAAAATGTAGATTAGTGAATTTCTAGTTTTAACTTTTAAAGCACTTCCAAGTTGCATCAAAGGACAAACTGGTGTTGGAATGTATTAAACATGAATAGAGCAGAATAGATACCGATGGTTTACATAATTGATCCTAACTAATTTGGGATTAGGCATAATTGATTGATCCGCTGAGAACATCTGAATATTACAAGGATATGCTGTAGTATCTATGCTTGTTGACTGCATTCAGTTGCAGAAAGAACATTTTAGGCATGTGATCTCATCCTTCGCATCACAGAAGAACATGAGTTCGTCATAATGTTGGTTAAGTAGTAAACCTGGAGACCTTGTTTGTTGAGTACCTTGCATTAAAAGAGCGTTTTTCATTCTCTTTTCTTTTCTTTTTTTCTTTTTTCTTTTTTCTAGTTGGCTAAATGGTTCTCTTGCGTGGAAGCTAATACCTATTTTCTAAGATTTTACTGCTTCAGGGCTGATGGATAGCTTCCTGCTTGTTTATTATGCATTTGACAGTTCCTGTAACATGCTTATGTTTTTCGGGATTTTGTATGACGCAGGTTGCATCAGGTTCAAGGACAGTTCTTGCAGTTGGACCAGGTATACTTCTTATCTGTTTGCTGCATTCGTATTGTTTTTCTTGGTTATCTTCTATTACTAGTATACTATGTGGCTCTACTTCTGCAGTTCTGTTGCTGTTTTCAAGATATACTTTAGTTTCTGGTACTGGATTTATATTCCATCTTTATGTATCTATCAGAGTCGATATGTAAGCTTTAAAGCCCAAGTATGCTGATAATCAGGTTTCATCTATGTAGAATGCGAAAAGGAGCCGTGGAGCAACTGTAAAGTTGTCTCAGTGTGACCTGTAGGTCACGGGTTCGGGCCGTGGAAGTAGCCACTAATAATTGCATTACTGTAGGTTGTCTACATCACACCCCTATGGGTGCGGCCCTTTCCCTAATCCTGCGGGATGCTTTGTGCACCGGGCTGCTCATTTATGTAGAATGCTCACTTTTGACTAGCCAGTTGTATGGCACTCAGACTAAACCGCCGCATATCCTAACCACTGTTGTTTACACTTTACAGTTGTCAGATCTCTTTGAGAATTGTCCCCAGATCATCATTTGCTCTTTTCATAAAAAGTGAAATGTTTAAATTCCATTAAATCCATTGCTTAAAAGGAATTTTTTTTCTGGAAAACAACCTTTTTAAGGATGTTAAGAAACCATTTCAAGATGTAGAAACAATGGTGCCTGGGAATATCTACTAACAATCCTATGGAAGGGAAGAAATTTTTTGCACCTTTCGAACAAATCAAATATGAATTCTGTAATTCTTGAGGGATACTCTTGGTGCGCTATGGCCGTTTTGTGAATGATATGCCTTCCGTAGCATGCTGGCTTGGTTGATGTTTGCGCACGACTTCTACTCAAATCTGTTTGATGTTATGCTCGCAACTAATTTTATAATTGAGCAGGAAGCAAGTCAGCTGTAGATTCAGTGACTGGAAAGCAGCGTCTCCTTTGATGATATTGATAGCTTCTATTGTAACATGTCTCATATTTGATCGGGTGGATCTGCAACAACTTTTGATGCATGTGTCACAGAAGAGATGCCATAGTTCCATATTAGGAATTGATAGATGTGCTAAGATCAATATAGGTCACTTAGTATTATTCTCTTCTAGGCACTAGTTTCAGGTCATATTTTAGTTTTATGGGATGCATTTCGTAAACTTGTTCTTGCCTTTCAGTTTCATTTTGTATGTATATGTCACTGGTCCATATTGTTGTTGACACTCGGCATTTAATACTGAAAGACAGTTCATGTATCTTAGAAGGTACTATTAATCATTTAGTTGTTCTCATTTCTCCTTTATGATCTGTGATTATATTGTGAATGTTTTTTGTTCCTGAGGTATTCAATCTCCTTTTAATGAGCGTATGTCAGGTGATACATTCATCGGAGAAGTAGAGAAAGGAATAGTGATGAACTTCACTACCATTTTATGAATTTCACTTTTAGCCCGAGCCAAAAATTATTTACATTCGGTAGTCGAAAGTGTATAAAATTTATATAATTTTTGCATATATCATACATAATGTTTATATATACAAAAAATATATATTTTTCGGCTATTATTTTGAGAGTGGTTATGCGGTGTCATTTTCTCTTTTATGAACTATTGTCCTCGGGAACGGGATGGAATAATTTTAGCGGGACGGGACGGGATGAAAACTTAAAGGGATAAGGGAGTCCAGGCCTTATTCGGGTAGGGATAAACGAGATGACTTGTTAGGCCCGTCCCATTCCACTAACTAACGGGATAGGACGCGGGTCCTTAGTGGGCTTATTTTAAATTTATTTTAATATTTAAGTACTAAAAGTTATAAAAGCTTTTTTAAATTGGCAACGGCTAGTTTTTTAAAGTTGGCATCGGCTAATTTTTTAATGGACTTAAACTTAATAAAATACGGTGAAAGGCCAAATATACCCCTGTACTTTCGAAAATGGTCAAAAAATACTCATCGTTATACTATTGGGCTATATATACCCTTCCCGTCATACTTTGGAACAAATATACCCTTATTTTGGATGGAGTGCCACGTGTCAGCACTAGATGAAAATGACCCATTTCTTTTTTTACCCGATCCGTTTTTAAAAACCCACCACCCGACCCGTTTTAAAATTCAATTTTTTTAAAGCATATATTTTGTAAAAACTGAATTTTTTTTTGTAAAAACTGAAAAAAAAAAATAAAAAAAAATTTGCAAAATATATATTTTTAAGTCTTTTCAGTTTTTTTAAAGTATTGTTTTTGTAAAACTAAAAAAAAATATTTTTTTAAAAAATACTTTAAAAGCTGAAAAATATATATTCTGTAAAAACTGAAAAAAAAAAAAAAAAAAGGAATTTGCAAAATATATATTTTTAAGTCTTTTCAATTTTTTTAAAGTATTCTTTTTGTAAAAACTGAAAAAAATTATTTTTTTTAAAAACTGAAATAAACAAAGACTCTCCTAAAGCAGTGGACTACATATGCATTAATTTTAAAAAAATAAAAATATTTTGCATTTTTTTCTTCTGTTTTTACAAAAAAAAATATTTTAAAAAATTGAAAAATATATTTTTTGAAAAATCTTTTTTTTTTCCAGTTTTTACAGAATATATATTTTTCAGTTTTTAAAGTATTTTTAAAAAAAATATTTTTTTTTCAGTTTTTACGAAAAACATAATTTAAAAAATCTGAAATGACTTAAAAATATATATTTTGCAAATTCTTTTTTTTTTTTTTCCAGTTTTTACAAAAAGAAATTTCAGTTTTTACAAAATATATGCTTTAAAAAAACTGAATTTTAAAACGAGTCGGGTGATGGATTTTTTAAAACGGATCGGATAAAAAAAAGAAATGGGTCGTTTTCATCTGGTGCTCACACGTGGCACTCCATCCAAAATAAGTGTATATTTATTCCAAAGTATGACGGGAAGGGTATATATAGCTCAATAGTATAACGAGGGGTATTTTTAGACCATTTTCGAAAATACAGGGGTATATTTGGCCCTTTGCCGAATAAAATATAAAGAAGCTAAGTAAGAAATTATAAAATATTAAAAGAAAAGACTTGTAGCAAAATATTTTATTTAATATAAAATAGTTGTAAGTTAATAAAATCTCAAAGTATGAAGTAACTAAGTAAGACAATTCATAAAATTCAAGGCTAAAGCCTTTTTGTTTATTTAATAGAAATATTAAATTTTACGCACAAAACAAGTCTTTTGAAGAGCACCTAATCTATATAGCCACATTCTAGGAAGGGTTCTGTTTGAAGTAGGCCTCTAAGTAGCTAATTACAAATTATAATATTAATATATGTACTCTCCTGTATAGCTTCTTTTTAACTGTCGTATAATATTAGTGGGAATCTCCTCTGGATTTGGCAATGTCGTCTGATGTCCATGAGTTCCATGTTGTCGTCACTTCCAGTGCAAAGTGTCTCATTGTACTCTTCTATTTCCTTATTGGTTAATTCTTTTGTGAACTAAATTTTCTTCTTTTTACATTAATCAAATCTCTGAATAAGGCGAAAATCTCTAGGCTGTCTTCCACTAATGAATATTAGTGGTCCCCGACTTAAAATCTTGATGCGCTAAAAACACTCTCCGAAGCTACTGATGATGCTTGAATAGCTAGTACATCTCGAGCCATTCTTGAAGTGTTGGAAATGCCTTGACACGCTCCCTTTACAATGCTAAAAGCTGCTCTTTGTCTTCTTTGTCTTTAATAGATTTCAATCCTTGATTAAGATAAACATAAGTTCATTTTCAACACCAGTAGAATCAAGACCTATTAACTCCCTCTATACCTTCTCACACTTCATCTTCTTCTCTAGCCTTAGAAGTTGTAGAAGGATGTATACTTTCTGGAGTTGCCTTGTTTTTATACTTATCAAACATTAGTTTGGCATGAACATATATGCTAGCTACGCAATCTTTGACAGTTGAATTTTCAGTTTCTGAAAATTGTAAATTCTCATAAATTTTACGAACAAGTCTCTTTGCACCTTTTAATTTTAAAGATGAGTTAAGTATAGTAGAATTTAAATAAATTGGGGAATAGAAAAAAATACTTTTTAAATTTATTATTTCTTCAACGGCCAGTGCGTTGTCATTATTTTTCTAATACTTAGCAAATACAACAGAAATTTCACAAATTTACTGTGGCATTTGTGAAATAGCATGATAATATATATATATATATATATATATATATATATATATATATATATATATATATATATATATATATATANATAATAATTTTTTTCTAAAAAATTAGTAAGCTTATGGATTTCATCCAATCAAACTTGATAATTTGATCAGCACGGCTAGCATTATGTGCATTAAATACTATTTGAATAGGCAATTGATAGACATAAGAAACTTTAGCATTTCGTAAGTAGAATTCCACCTGGTACAAACATCTTTTGTAAATTTTCTATATGGAAATTCAACATATGCACATCGATCTTTATATTAACTAAAATACAATATGATTGTGCCTACAATATTATTAGCATGAAAAATATAGGCACAATCATATTATATTTTAGCACAGAATCAGAAAATAAATAAATACCATCTTTTATAATCAAATCAAAAATATGACGCACATCTAACATGAAAAATTGGTCATTAAGTGGGCGAACTCTAACTTTTAAGCCATTTGCTGCAGTAGTGTTAGCAGAAGTATTATCTAATATGATAGTTAAAACTTTGTCAGTTAGAACATAAAATTGAACATTTTCTAGAACCGTAGATGCAATATATGCTTAGTGTATTTTAGATCAACAAATTTATAACAAATACTACCTTTTTGCATGTTCCAGTTATGATCAATCCAATGACATATAACAATTAAATAATCATTGTCATTAGGACAATGACCTATATCAGAAGTAATAGACACTTTATAATCTAAGTGATAAAATACACAATGTATATACTGAAGATATTCACTTTGAAATTTTAAAAACATCATTTTTAACTGTGATTTTAGGAAAATTTTGAAAAGCAAGATTATTACTCTTGTATATAATGCACAAAAGTGGGGTAAGAAGAAAAAGTAAAAGGTAAGCCACAGACATCGACCATTTTTGCTATATTTTTGTGTTTTATGTCTTTATTATAAGAACGTTTTATACCACCAATACTAGCATTAAAATATTGTTGGATTTAATTAAAAACCCCGCCAAATTCAGTAGGAACACCAGAATCGCTGATAGGATGTAGTTTAATTATCATGTACAAATTAAACTATTATCTCAATAGTTGAATGAGGAAACATTGTTGCATAACACAATAAACAAAAACTATTGTGCATAAATCATAAAACAACAACAACAACAACAACATACCTAGTATTATCCCACACTGTGGGGTCTGGGGAGGGTAGTATGTACGCATACCTTACCCCTACCTTGTGAGGATAGAGAGGTTGTTTCCAATAGACCATCGGCTCAGGAAAGCATAGCACCACATTAATGGAAAAATACACAAGAAGGGCCAAGCAGAATAGAAATAACAAGACAGTAAGGTGATCAACAATGAAAGAAAATAACGGCTAGTCATAAAAACCCACTACCAATAGAAAGCGAGACTGCATGCCAATACTAGTGTTATGAATACTCTAAACTACCTACTCTACTACCCTAATCCTCGACCTTCATACCTTCTTATCAAGGGTTATGTCCTCGGTCAGCTGAAGTTGCGCCATGTCTTGCCTAATCACCTCTCCCCACCTCTTCTTTGGCCTACATCTACCTCTCAGTTGGCCGTTAAATGTCAACCTCTCACACCTCCTCACCGGGGCGTCTATGCTCATCCTCTTCACATGACCAAACCATCTAAGCCGCACTTCCTGCATCTTGTCCTCAGTAGGGACCACACCCACCTTGTCGCGAATAATCGCATTTCTGATCCTATCTAACCTGGTGTGCCCGCACATCCATATCAACATCCTTATCTCAGCTACCTTCATCTTCTGGACATGCGCGATCTTGACTGGCCAACACTCAGCCCCATACAACATCGTAGGTCTGACTACCACTCTGTAGAACTTACCCTTTAAGTTTCAGTGGTACCTTCTTGTCACACAAAATACCAGAAGCGAGTCTCCATTTCATCCATCATGCCCTAATACAATGTGTAAAATCTTCATCAATCTCCCCATCCCCCTGAATAATAGACCCAAGGTACTTAAAACTCCCTCTCCTAGGGATGACCTGCGATTCCAGCTACACCTCCCCTTTCCCTCCTTGAGTCTCGCCACTGAACTTACACTCCAAGTATTTTGTCTTGGTCCTGCTC